CCGGTCACTGTCGGCAATCGAGAGCGCGCACACACTTTTAGTAGGCTACTCGCGACCCATTGATATCGCTTTTCAGCGAATTTTTATGAAGGTAGAATGACGTCAAAAAGATTTGCATGTGCAGGGTAAGAGTTGTGGAAGTGTACATAAGACCGTAAGCGTAAATTAAATTTGCATGCGCAAGAGAAGCTTTGTAAAGGTGTAAATCGTGTTTCAAGCGCAAGAAAAAAATATTTGCAGCATTTTACTGTTACTCGTAAGTGTAATTCATGTATTGTGAAACTGCAGCTTCATGCTAACGCAAAATAAATATGATCTGCATGCTTCTGACTTCCATTTTTCCGCGCTTACACTTTTGGCACGTTTTTTTTGCCAAAAGACGGTCAAAAGCACTGCAAGCCTGTGAACAGTGATTTGCAAGCGAAAACAACAGTTTAAAGAACTGCAAAACGGATTGACTGCATAGAACCAATCTGTATGTGTAAAAAACAAACTGTTGCAAATGTCTAAATGACTTGTTGTGCATGTGGGGCAAAAAGTTCCCGAAATAAACCGATATGTATAGCTCCGTCTCTCTTTTCTCTGCGCTTACAATTTTGGCACGATTCTCTCACTGACTGAGTTTTGCAAGCGTGAGGGGGAGGGCGGGTCCTCCTTCTTCTTGTAGCCAATCAAATGAGCCTCTCGCTGACTCAATTTACTCTTATCTGATTGGTCCAATAAACACATCACACGCCTAGACATTAATCTTCATTTAGTTCAGGATCGTTCTTGCTGCCGGAATGGTACTTTTAACGTACACATACAGTAAAAAAATTAATTAAAAAATAACAACTTAATTAAAACATGCTCCTTTCATAAGCTGTGTTCCTTTAGGCTAGACTCCCATGTGTTCATACTGAATTGCGAGCTGGTGTTAACATTATTTGGTTTGGCTTTACATTGAAATGTCATAATCTACTTACACCACTGAGCTGATGTTAAACTGTATAATCAAAATGATGCTATGTGACAATGCTCAACACTATAGTATCAGAGTGCTATACTTTGTAAAACCTTTTTACTATGACAATAAAGCTACTTAAATATGAATTTGTCAATTTTTCAGACCATGTTTCTGTTTATGGTATTTAACACTGATTACTGATCAATATGTGACTGATCAAGCTATTATATGAAGCAAGAATGAGTAACAAAATGCTTTCTTTGTGTCCAGATTTGACTAATGCAAAAACTTTGATAAATATGTCTTTAATAATGTCTAAATATATATCCAAATACAAGTAACTAATTATGCGGGAATCCAAATTTCCCAGCCACTATAGGGAACACAGTCATGTTTATATGTTTACATATAGAGAGCTAAACAGCCATCTCGTGGTTACACGATAGTATTACAGATGATAAATGCTGACTAAGTTAGAGATAAATATTTTAATAAATATTTTAGTAATATTTTGTAAAATCCCCTTAAATTACAACATGTTAAATGAAACGTTATTACTGTTGGTTCTGTTGGTTCAATTATTATTGAACCAAATTTGTGTTTAAAAAATGGATCAGTAG